CCTACTTTACAGCTAGATAAATGCGAAAGCATGGAACATATACTATCCCATGTCCAGGAAAGATCATAATCCTTACAGAGAAGTACTATGGCCTGTGTAACAAGAGGGAAACCAATCACTCATTCATCTTCTGTAAAGAGTAACCTTTTTTAGCAATCCCATTCCCCGCCCCCCCATGAAACACAAAAACATTTGGTTTAAGAAGGCCACTGAAAAAACAAGACGTCAGGTTGTGCTGGTCTGCTGTGCATTTGTATAAATTATGCTAGCACAAGCTGCTTTTGAATTGTGTGTACAATATTCAACACATAACTTAAATCATCAGAAGGCAGCTGTTTTAACTGTATGTGTTCATAGTGCTGGTTATACCACACATGGTACTAACCAAGAACATTTTAATACAGTTTTGGTATGGAGGCATTACTACAGTTGATTGGTCTTTCTTAAATGATGTCTTTTGTGGTATTAAGGAGTACTGAGGATTTAATTTTGCAGGAGTTTAATCAACTCTGTGAGTACCAGTATTTCAGTAGGGAGGTGAACCATAAGAAGCTCTTTAGTTTTCAGTTACAACATAACTGTGGGTAAACAAAGTATACACAACTACTATAGATTCGTCAATGAAGAAATTCTATCATCACATGACATTGTCATGACTATCATACCACTCCCTCCCAGAAAATGTGATAATTATCCTGAGTGGAAATGTTATTTTTAATATATGGAAATAAAATACTGCAATATTCATGTATGAACCAAATTGTCATATTGAAAGTCAGTATTGAAAGTATAAAGTAACTCCTGGGTTTAAATGGAAAACAAACAAACAAACAAACCATGCTTTCTGCAATAGGTTACTGATCTGGCTAGTCCATCAAGCACATCCTAATGCCATTAGACAACCACAGATAAATTTGCTATTAAAAGTTAAATTTAAAGGCATATTTTTAAAGTGTGCTATTCAGAAAATGCACTTAAATAGGTTAGCAGGAGTTTTTAATTTAACCAAAGAATACTACAATAGGATATTGGCTACAAAAGTCCCAAGTCTGCTCTCAATAGATTTATACCACCTTTGATATGACAAAATGATCTTTTTGCCATGAATATTTGCCTTTCTATACTTAAATTTGGTTCAAAGATATTTCCTTCTAGCCCATCTATTCAGCATCATCTTCTTTACAAGGTACTGTTTAATTTAGCAGTTCAAAATCCAGGCAATGACAAACACAGCAAAGACATAGTATTGCATTAACAGCTGTATTTCTATCCCCCTCTCCTCCTGGCTTACACACCTAGCACATACGTAAACAAGAAACATTAAAGTATTCAACTTTTCAGAACTGCAGAGTCAAAGTCTGCAATACATCTACCTCCGAGCAGCTGATACCACAGCGTCTTACATTGTAAACTCTCACACTGAAATGGCATCAATACAATTTGCAGATGCCATTCTGACTATAATTCAAATCTGAAGGGTGAGTGGGAGGACTCCTCTACCATAACAGTATTAAACCCCACCCCAAAAACAAAACAAAACAAAACAAAACAAAACAAAA